AACATTAAATATAATAATAATAAAAAGCCACAAACCTCAAATCATCTAATTATCAATACTGTTACACAAATCATAAATCAAGCCACCCATTTAAGATACTGTTGCTAAAAGGCTTGTATGAACAACAAAGATATTCATCTACAGACCCAAATGATTCTTAAGGGTAAGGAATGGTGGCAATGTGGTTATGAGCCACAGTTCCAATCCACAGCTTGCCCTTTGCTTCCCTAACTTCACTCACAAGTTTCATAACGGCACCCTTTTGATCCTCGAGAACTTCCAAAATTTCCCCCTTCTCATTGAAGAGGGAGATCAATGTGTACATCTTCATCCCCATAAATCGCGCTAAGTAGGTCATTCGGATCGGCAAGCGAAAGTAGACACTTCGTATCCATGGATTGTGAGAGAGGACTTCTTGTGCTGGGGTCCTGCAACAATCTATGGCAACCCAGAATTGGCCTTTCTCATTTATTCTTATGTTGTCTGGAAAACCTGGAAGGTCAGCAACAAGTTCGACTGTCCCATTTTTAGGACCCTCTAGCCAATATTTCATTAGCCTGCAAAAATTCAATCAACCAGTAGAAATATTGGTTGGAATTAAATTGTACCCAAGGTACTAGCTCAAATTGGAATATATACTCAAGCTGATTTTCATAAATGGGGCATCTTACACACACACATATATATATATAATTATTATTCACTACAAGAAAAAAGCCCTTTTCGACTATTAAAAAAAAAGTGTGTTGTTACAAGATATATATTGAGTTGAAACCGATATGGTGGTCAAAGACATTTTGTCACAAGGTATTTTTCTTGTAAGGATTTTGCTTTGAGTTTGGCAGGAATTCCTTAACTTTTACAAGACTAGTTGAATATAGAAATTAAACTTGGGACATGTTCAAGCTGATTTTGATAACTTAAGATTCCTAGCTTTGTCCTCCACGAAAAAATCCAAGGCCTCAGGTTTTATTATTATTACCTGCAGTTGGTGGTCTCAGTAAAGAGAAGGAAGGTTTGGTCCTTAGAAAGCTGCAACCCATTTGGAAAAGCCAAACCTTCCAAGACAATATGAGTTGTTTGGGTGGGAGGATCATATCTCAGAAGCCTGCCAGTGGATTCTCCTTCCAATAGTATAAAGAAATGGTTCCTGCAATTTGATTAATTTCCACTAATTAATTAGGATCAGTAAATCAAATATATAT